CAGGAAGGATGAAGTGACGCAGAGCCAGGCGATGGCTGCGGGAGTGGGGGTCAAACAAACTTGGGCAGCTCCCCCTGTGCTGGGAGTGAGCGCCCGGGGGTCTTGCGGCAGGAACCACCCCCCTGGACTGGGCTCGTGTAGGAGGAGAGGAAGCCAATGGGCTATAAAAAGTCGAGAAGAAAAGAATTTCCACTTTTATGTACTACCTATAAACAAGTTTCATGGGAGACAGTAAAACTAAAGGTCCTTCAGTGTTGCTGTCTCTCTCTAAACCGCTCCTGCCTCCGCCCTCTGGCTGCAGGTGTGTCACAGGTCTCGGGGACTGATGGATGCTGCTTGCTTGACCTAGTGCCGCCGACCTTTGCCCGGTCCTGCCCCTGTCTGTTCAGGTCCCAGCCTCCCCTGCCTTCCTACTTCACGTCCCGCAGCTTTGCAGACAGGTAAGAGGTGGCTGCGCTGAGCTCCGCTGGGCTTTGTCACGGCCTCCCCAGGTTCCCGCAAGTCCCCGGGGAGGGACCGCGCTGCCTGTGTGACCCCTCGCTGCCCACACGCTCCCTCCTGCAGCGCCACGTGTTGTCCAGCACGCACTAAGGTTTATCAACTTCACGCTGAGTTCGTTTGCGTATCTTGTTCCTCAAAACCCTTCTTTTTCTGCCGTGTTTGTAGGGCCTGCCCTGCAATAGGGTCCAGGTCTGGGAGTCAGCCCTGCAGGAGGTGCCTCAGCACGAGCTCTCGGTACCTTCTCAGGCAGGGCAGGATCAAACACATTCACTGTTGTCACTTACTTTTACGTATTCTTTGATGGAGTCATCCATTATTACATCTGACTTCTTAGATTTTAAATATCAATCACCAGGCAGGTTAAATAATTATTTAGTTGTCTTTTACCATTAAAGCAGGCTAATTGCTCTCCAGAGGACGTCAGTCAGCATATGGGAAAACATGCTAATTAGAACCAACTTCACGTCTTAATATTTTATGTTATTTTATTTGATGACCACTGATGTTGCTGCTGAGGTGGGCGTTCTGAAAATTCAGAATGAGAATCCAAAGGAAACGCCTGAAACTCTCCTTTAGATCTAGACCAGAGGAGCGATAGCAGGGCTGAGCCTGGGGCAGGAGGCGGCGCGGGACGTGCAGGGAGGTTCAGCCACAGAGCCCAGAGGATCTCTCGCCGAGTGTGGCCCCAGGAGGAGCCCAAAGGAGCCGGGTGGGTGGGATGCGCCCCGTCGCAGCACTCCAGCCTGCCCTGAGGCCTGGCTGGGCAAGCTGAACGCAGTCGGGGGTATTTTTAGCTTTGTCAAAAGCTAAGTCGAGAAAGTCAAAGTATTTTAGGTTTTCGCTTTCTCCCCTCTTCCCCTTTTTAACAAAACAAACAGCTCCGTTCTCGGAAAGAAAATTCCAACAGCCCTCGGTGTGTGGTGTGATCTCTTATCTTTTACTCCTTATAAAATCACCGAGTTAGCTTTGAAGAACAACCATTTCTGATAACACTTTTCTCTCCCCCGCTGACAGTGTTGTTAACACATTTAGACAGCTCTCTGACAGTCTCTTTCCATGTGACATCCTGGAAGAAATACTTATTTTGAAATCGCTCTCACCGGGGATGGAGCCAGCCTGAGCTGCTCCAGGGACGAGAGCTCCTGCCTCCATCTCACAGACCTCTCGTGCCCAGAGATCTGTGGTTTATGTGTTTTTCTTCTTCTCCAAGGTTACAAAATGTCTGTCTCGTTGAGCAGCGGGGCTGGCTGCAGCACGGCACTCTGCCCTCTCATGGGCTCTGTTTCAGGGCCAAGATTAGCAAAGGGGCCAGTCGGGACCAATACACGTAATTTAGTGCCTGGTCGCCCAGACTGTGGCTCAGCAGGTCCCCAAGGCAGGAGGAGGGGAGAGCCCTTGCTCACAAGATGTGCCTGCCCTGGGAAGGCTGGAGAATTGATGCTTCTGCTTATCTGACCAGTCCAGTGGAGAGAAACCCACTGTCATGGTCCAGGTCCCTCCAGGGCCGGTGTTTGCACCGATAAAGAGAAATAACACCAGTGAGAAGTAAAAGAAAGTTCTCCAGAGCACGAGGCTGTGCACTGGGAATGGAAGCGAAGCTCCCCAGGGCTGCCTGGCAGCGGTGGCTGTTATGGTCTCAGATGCAGTAATACTGCAGCGAAAGCAGAAGGCGATAAATATCACCAAAACAAAAAAAAAGAAGGAAAAGCAATGACAGATGTGCTCACAAGAAAATCTCTCCTTGCGCTTTGCCCCAGGGACCTGCTGCTATCAAATGCTCCACAGGTAAATGCAGCTGAAGCTGGAGTCGGTACCTCGTGCAGCCCGTGACCGATGTCGATGCCACCAGGCGCGCTCCAAATGGAGACGCGGCGTCCTACCAGCAGTGCCGAGGACTGCTGGGGGCTCCCACCCTTGGGCCAATATTCAGTCGAGGGCCCTTTTTGCCACCCGTGAAGTAACTGCACCTCAGAGATCTGCCCTGGTCCCCGCGGGTCCCTGTCAGGCTGCACGCGTGGGACAGCCGGGATGTGCTCCCTGCGGCGGGACTGGGGACAGAACTTGCAGACCCACTGAGACAACCCTCCTGGCGAGGAGCTGAAAATAATTTATTGGGTCCGTCAGTGGACTTTGGATTTTGACAGAGGAACGGTGCAGCAGGATCTGAGTTCCTGCCCCCTTAAACTGCTGCTGATCATGCATCAGCCCTGTCACCTCCGCGTGGCACCGCTTGGTGTGGTGCGGCGCAGCCACGTGTCCAAAGCAATTTCAGGCTTCATAAACGCGCATCACGCAAGAGAGACCCCGCGCAGGAATCGGCGGCTGCTGCTCGCAGGCCCCGGCTGTCCCCTGCCCGCGGACGTTGCTCTCTCTCTGGATGCTGTTTGCTAAACACCCGGGAGCAGGCTCTGACTCGGAACGCAGAAAGAG